AGTAGCTGGGATTACAGATGCGCACCATGGCACCTGGCTAATTTTTTTTGTATTTTTAGTAGTGACAGGGTTTCACCATGTTGGCCAGGCTGGTCTTGAACTCTTGACCTCAGGTAATCCACCCACCTCGGCCTCCCAAAGTGCTATGATTACAGGCATGAGCCACCGCCCCCAGCCAAAGCAACTAATACTCCTAACATGAAAGAAGTTTAGAATATGTACATTGTTGACAGTAGGTCAATAATAGTTCTTCCCAAAGCAAGGTCTGCATTTTATATATATTACATACATTATGTAATACCTTGTTACTCAAAGTACTGTCCATGACCCATAGAAGCAACCTCACTTGTGAGCTTCTTAGAAATGCTCATCTGAAGTCCCCTCCCACACTGATGTGGAATCTGTATTCTAAAAAAAATCCCTGAGAGATCCATATTCACATTTAAAATCTGACATAAACTATTATAGAATGTGAAGTTTCAGCATGACAAATGTATTTTTTCCTCTCAAATTTGGAAGAGTTCTCCAAGTAAAGGTTTCACATCAGTATATCATTTAACAACCCTCTCAGAAAACAAGCACAAAAGATAAAACAAAAATTTGTTTATTCCTGCCTCAATGTTATGTCACACTCTTACTTTATGTTAACACAATTCAACAATAAAAAAGCACATAATGAAATTGTACTATGTGCAAAGCCCCACTGTAAGTGCTGTCAGGCACACAACGATGATGCATATAGTCCCAGTCCTCAGGAAGCCTACATCTAGAAGACAGTGTGGAAATTAAACCACCAGTAAAAACGACAATGACACAACGAAACTGCTTTTAAAAATATAGAGAAAGGAGTGATTATTTTAAAAATCTCTTGGTTTTCTTTTTCTACCAACTATAAACTTATTCAAAATCTGACTTTAAATTAAACTCCTCCATGAGGAAAACCCCTTTTCATTCTGAAACTTTATTCAAAGGAAACCCTCAAAACTCTTGTTTATCATTTGGTGCTCATTGGAATACTTCTTCCAAATGTTCTCTTGTCTTTGGCTATATCCCTTCTGCTTCCATAAAGAGAGATTATCATCAAGGCAGTAATCTCATCTTTTATTAGGTATAAACACAGCAGCTATAGAATGCAACAGGCATTTCCTTAACTAACTCAGCAGGATGAGTTTGGATGTGAGTAAATTTATTTAATAATTAGAAAGAAGAGCTGGGTGTGGTGGCTCATGCCTGTAATCCCAGCACTTTGGGAGGCTAAGGCGGGCAGATCATGAGGTCAGGAGATCGAGACCATCCTGGCTGACATGGTGAAACCCCATCTCTACTAAAAATACAAAAACAAAAAATTAGCCAGGTGTGGTAGCCAGCACCTGTAATCCTAGCTACTTGGGAGGCTCAGGCAGCAGAATCACTTGAACCCGGGAGGCACAGGTTGCAGTGAGCTGAGATTGTACCACTGCACACCAGCCTGGGCAATACAGTGGGACTCCATCTTAAAAAAATAAAAAAGACTGACATTATACGACACTTTTTTCTATAAAGCTATAATCTTTCCTTCCAAATACCTAATACTACAAAATACTTACATATATGTAACAGTAACATATAATATAAACTTGTCACTTCTATTTCCTTTAAATATCCTGGATGCAAATGATGTTCACCAAATATAAATAATGATTATTTCTAGATGTTAGAATTTTTGCATTTTGAATTTCTTTTTTCCTGTGTTTGAATTTTTATAAAAAACAAATTATTTATGCAAAACAATGACATCATTATTTTTTTTTTACATAAAAACTGCAAGCTCGGTGTGGTGGCACACACCTCCTGTCACAGTCCCTCAGAAGGCTGAGGAAGGCGGATCCCTTGAGCCCAGAGGTTCAAGGTTGGCCTGGGCAACACAGTGAGACCCCATATTTAAAATATATACATATGTAAAATTAAAAATAAATTTTAAAAAACTACCAAGGCACAAACACTCAGCTTAGTGAAGAGAGGGGGGGAGAGAGAGAGAGAGAGAGGAAAAAACAAAAAACCCTACTGACTGTATTTCACCTTTTCACTTTTCCCATTTCTGACTAGTTCACCAACATGGTCAACAAGTTTTCTTGTTCTGTATATTTTAATATGAGACAAAGTAAGGGCCTTCAAACCAATACTTCATTTTGCATTTTCTAATCTCTATACACAGTAACTTTCATATATTTTTCTTCTAAATCACACATAATAGATGCCTCGACTGTTTCAAAAGTCAAGCCAAGACTAAAAAAATGTTTTAAGAAGTAGCTGAGTCAGGATTTACGTTAGCGACATTTTACCATGAACATGTAAAAAGAAGAAAATTCACCTTTTTAACTTTGGCCGCTGTGAAGCTGCCTGTGATGCAGGATTGGAAAACCCTGTGCTTTTACTCACTGGAATGGCATTTTTTTTGGCATTGACAACCTGAGTACAGTGGGCACTAAAAGACTTAGGACTCCTCCTCTTCACTTTCCGCTCTTCCATTGTTTTAAGTTCCTTATTGCACCACGGCCAGCTTCTTAAGACCTAAGTAAGGAAATACAACAATTATATATGTATACTATACTATACAAACATGGAAGAAATTGAAAGACCCATTTCACAGGTCAAAAGAGGATCAAGAATTCCAGAGGGCACAAGAAGTTAGAAAATGGGTCTCTTAAGTTTAATCTACTCTACTATGTACCCGTAAGCCCCCAGCAAAATTGTCTGGTAGACAAGTTTTTTGTTAGTTTGTTTTTGACATTTCTTTATTCCCTCATCCTACAAATATTTACTGATTCTCTTCCACAAGCCAGACCTATTGTGGGTACTGGGGAGATGGCACTGAACAAAACAAAGTCCTTGCCCTCAAGAAGCTTACATTTTACAAGGGGAACAATATATAAACAATAAACAAATGATTCACGTAATATTCCCAGCCTGATTCAAGCTTCAGATGGCCTTTAGGTCTCTCTTCCAAAATGTATGCTCGAGAAGAACCAACCAGATTCAAACAGATGTAAAATTGTCAGGGGGATTTTGCTAGCATTTTAAAAAGCAACTAGAAGCCTTAGTTCAAGCACTAAACAGAAACTCAGTTTCTAGCTAGGGCTAATACTAATTCTAGTTTGGTAATCAAGTGAAGTTCTAGAAAATCAAACTTGTTCGTTGCCTATTTTGAATACGCCTTCTCTAACCATTTCCAAACAAACATGAATTTTATGATATATATTTGGTTTTGTTATCAAAAAAGTTAACAATGTGAAGTTACAGAGGGCCCTTCCATGGGGAACATGTGTAAGGCCTCCTGTCTATCTCTATACAGTCCCCTTACTTTATGTATTAATCAGCTCTGTTTTTCTAACATCCATCTATTTTAAAATACCCTTCCATATTTTATTTGTGCATAATGTTAAATTTTTCTTCATTATTTCATGTATCATAAGATGAAGAATTTATATGGCTATCTACCTCATCAGACTAAATTGTCTTAAGAAACATTAGGCTGTATTTTGCATGTTGTGTTTAATTTAAGCATGCCATGACCATTCAAAAAGATTCAAACCCATTGCTGTCGCTTACAATAATTATTTGAGAAATTTAATGAAAATAGATTTTTTTTTTCTTTTGCCTGGACTCAGCGCCACTGGCACTGGAATTGAAACCAGTGACCTTAAATTGGCTGACGCTAGACAATCACAACTGAAGCTACAATACCTCCAAAGAAGAGCTTTCTGGGAAAGGCTCCAATGCCCCGTCTCTAATCCCAGATACCAATTGTAAATCCACTTAAACCTCGGCTAACAATTTTTCTTTTAAGAAGCATTCTTGGGCCGGGAGCGGTGGCTCACGCCTGTAAATCCAGCACTTTGGGAGACTGAGGCGGGCGGATCATGAGGCCTGCAGATCGAGACCACCCTGGCCAACATGGTGAAACCCCCGTCTCTACTAAAATACAAAAAATTAGCCAGGCGTGGTGGTGCACGCCTGAAGTCCCAGCTACTCGGAAGACAGGCAGGGAATCGCTTGAACCAGGGAGGCGGAGATTGCAGTGAGCCGAGATCACGCCACTGCACTCCAGCCTGGCGACAGAGCGAGACTTCGTCTCAGGAAAAGAAAAAAAAAAAAAAAAAAAAAGCATTTTTGGTAGCAGAACAGTAATTCTGGGGTTGTTTCAACATGAAGCACAAATTAAATAGAACTTTGAAAGATGACTGAATAGAGACGATGGGTTATTAGTTCTCTGAAGAGGCAAGGATCTGTAAAAACTTACGATACGCGTAAACACGCTGGCCTGAAATTTAACGATGCTAATACACACTTGGTGGCACAAGAAAAAAAAATCTAGGAAGTAAAGCAATGCAAGTAGACTAATGTAGGCTTAAACCACAATGTTCTGGGGAGCCAGCACTCGCGATTTACTCGTTTTTGTAAAGTCACATCTGTCACAAGAGCACCGAAACCCTTCTTGTATATTAAACAGCAAAGAATGTTTTAAAGAAGGCTTAAGTAAACTGCTCATAGTTACTTATTCACACGCTGGTTTTAAGTGCCAGATCTTGCCTCCAAGCAGGACCACTGGGGATCCCTCTTGACATCACTTCATTCCCCTTCCCCAATCTGCCGAAGCGATGACCCTTCACCGCCCGGTACCCAGCAGTGACCACAGAGGTGGGAAGGGCCTAAAGGGGCAGGTTGCAGAAGTTTCTTTGCTTCCACTACATACCTGAAGAAGGGGATTGGGGCCCCCTTCCGCAACGCGCAAAGACCCGACAGCTTCAGACGCCACCGCCGCAGCCCCAAGTAGGGCCCCGGTCACATCCCGGGACCCGCGCCTCCGCAGCTCCCTTTGTTTACGGAAGTGACATAAGGAGGCGGAGCCTCCATGCCCCAGGCGAGAGCCCCGCCTTTTCCTGCTCCCCCATTGTCGCTTGTGTCTCCGCCCTTGGCATTTCATTGCTTCTCCTGTCCTGCCTTCAGCTGTAACTCCGGCGCGCAAAGAAAGGAAGACTCATGGCTGGGAGTGTCGTTTTAGGCTCTGTGACCCAGAAGCAAGACGCAATAAACGGGTGCAGTGGAGGTAGAAACGGGAAATGCAGTACCCTTCCCGGAAGCGACTCCCCTCGGTGAGTGTCAGATCCCATGAACTACAATTCCCACAATGCTGTTCGAGCAAACCAGAAGGCAGAACCAGAGTGTAGCCTTTCAACTGTTCCTTCATGGTTTTCCATTGGTTGCCCGTACTTCTCGCGGCTAAACTAACTTACGCTCCAAGGCAGTGGGAAGAGTGTGATTCGGTTCAGCGACCCTGATGCTGAGCCCCTAAATGAGAGTCTGTTATTACTATTAATAGCTGCTCTGGTCGGGCCCTAGACATAACGTTATATCTAAGCCTCTCTACAATTTTATGGGTAGGTGTTATAATCCCCGTTTTAGAAATGGGGAATTTGAGGCTGAGAAAGTCTCTTTGATGCAGGTGTCTCTCTGTCGCCAAAGACAGTTCTACTTCCACTATACTTACAGCCTCTGGAGAAGGAATTGCAGGCTGAGAGAAAGAGCTATATCTTAAAGGAGGGAAGAAATCCACGTTTCATTGCCTGGTCTCGGTAGCCTTCCCGGTGTGGGAGTGGGAGGTGGGAAGGTTTTAGATTTACAGGGCCTTGGATTGAAGAGACTGAAGGAACATCACATACTCCCCCCGCATTAGCTAATGGGAAACTATATCTTGAGATTGTATCCATGCTAGAAAAGGCAAAGACAACTCCAGTCTCCTGGCTTCTAGGGTAGGGTGTTCTTCCATCAACCGCGAATTTTTTTTTTTTAATTCTGAAATGTTTTAAAAAGAAAAGCACAGAGTGAACACTTACGCACCCACTATCCAGAACGAACAGATTTATGAATGAAAGAAATAGAGCATTACAGATAAGGCAGGTGTCCCATATTCTCAGTTCCACTCTACTACCACCCTGAAAGGCAACCAGGATCATGAATTTGATATGTATCTTGCCAATCTAGGTTTCTATACTTAAACTGTTACTATGTATTATAAACAACATGTAGAATGGTTTTGGGCATTCGAAGTTTTACATGAATGCTATTATATTTTGTGTATTGATCTGCAATTTGAATTTTTTTTACCCAACTCTGTGTTTTTGAGATCTAGCCACATTGATTAATATAGCTAGACTTAATCAAATAAGTTGGCCACAAATTATTTGGGAATCCTCATAGTCATGGATGTTTAGGTTGTTTCCCATTTTTCCCAATTAAACATACTACTGTACAGTCTTCTCAGTATCTTTTCCCAGTTTCTCCTTTTAATTAATCTCGAATTGTCTTATTTGTATGAACAGAGCTTGCAACTGGTGATTCACATGCTACTTTTTTTCCAATTGGTTGCTAACAGTTAAAATTGAAAGAATAAAAAAATGGATCTGTGGCAGCTCATGAATTATTGAGAAGATCTGACCACATTAGATCTGCATTGTAGCCTGGCAACCATGGTTCAAGCTGAAAAGCATCTGCCTCCTTTAGATCAGTTCAAGTGCTATAGTTTTTCTTTGCCTTTAGTACCCATCTGAGCCCTGTAGCATTTGTGTTTACAACCTGCAACATGATGTAGGGACACAGGAAAGTACCCTTCTAAATGTACATATTTCAGATATTCAGAAATAAGTATTCAGGTTTTGAATACCTATTTTTAAAATACCTATATTAGCTAGACCCTGTGATAGAAGGTTAGGATGCATCTATCAACAAAAGGTACAAGAACTTTATAGTCAGAGATCTTATATTCCTGATATAAGAGACTGACAATAAAGTAGTATACAAATAAAATAGTTTCATTTAGTGAGATAAGAGTCCTGAAGTAACAGCTTAAGGTCAAAAGGAGTTTGTACTGAGGAAGTATCAGGGAAGGCCTTCCCAAAAGTGCAGCTTTGACGTAGAGATAAGAATGAAGTGTATGAGCCAGCAATGGAATGATCGGAAGGAAAAGTGTCCTTGAGTGCCAGGCACAGTGGCTTATGCCTGTAATCCAGCACTTTGGGAGGCTGAGGCAGACAAATAGCCTAAACCCAGGAGTTGAGACCAGACTGGGCAACATGGCAAAGCCTTGTCTTTACAAAAAGTAGAAAAATTAGCTGGGCATAGTGATGCAGACCTGTATGTAGTCTTAGCTACTTGGGAGGCTGAGGTGGGAGGACTGCCTGAACCCAGGAGGTCAAGGCTGCAGTGAGCTATGATCATGTCACTGTGCTCCAGCCTGAGTTACAAAATGAGACCCTGTCTCAAGAAGAAAAGAAAAGAAAAAAGAGAAAAGCATCCTTGAATAAAACATATGGTACAAATGCAAGCTGTTAGGCAAAATGAACTTTAGCATGCTTGAAGAAGCAGAAGGTTAGTGTGGTGGGATTGTACTGACCTAGGCACAGGGTGATGTGAGACAGAGTTGTTTTAGAGGTAAATTTCAAGTGTGATTTCTTCAATCTAAAATCTAGAGTTCCTCTTTGAAAGAAATGATCTTTCAGATTTTCTAGATTTCCTTTAATTCCTTTAAACTGCAAACATTTGTCCTTTAGATTAACTGTTAAATGCAAACCTTGTATAAATTACTCCAATCAGATACTTTCTTCCTAAGGACGATATTTAGAATGGGAGCTTTGATTAAAAAGCCCCTTCCCCTGCCTCCCAGTACTAATCTATCCTATAGTATAGGTAGGTAAGGAGGAGTACTATTGGAGAATTTCCTAGTAATGACAGTGGAGAGCCATTGAGAGAAAAATCTGCTGGGGGCCCAGAAATCTTTATTTTAAAACAATATATTTTTTTTCTTATGGAAAATTTCAAACATATATACTGAGGAAGACAGAAGAATATAATGAACCTGTCATCCAGCCATTAACCCCTGGCCAATGATGTCAGTTATCCTTGATATCAGGGATGCCGACTCTGACCCTTTGTGAAATGGAGTTTTTGTTCTGTTATTTCTTAGGGTGATGTGAAGATAAGAAAAGACACAGGGATTTCAGAAGAAAATTATAACAATGTATACTTACCAATTTCTGATATAATCTCAGGTGATTCACATGGACACACGTAAACACACCCACAAGTGCAGCTAGAAGTAAATCATGCAGACACTGTCATTGTCCTTGTACATTGTATATACAATGCATTTGTATACTTTGGTCAAAAGCTGTGATTTCTAGTCTTGCAAAGCTGTATGTAGTTAGATAATGTGATGACCTGTAATATTTATCTGATAAATATGTATTCACATGAAACCTGTAAAAAAAAATGCCCCCTCCTGATATTTTTTCCTCTCTAGTATTATTTTGAAGTAATCTCAGATATAATTTAATCCCTGCTATTTTAATATAGATTGCTAAAAGATTAAAACTTTGAAAGATTTCACCACAATGCCTTTATGGTTCCTAAGCAGTAACAGTGGATTAATGTTATTAAATATGCAGTAAATATTCAAATGTTGATTTGAATAATTTCTGACCTTTTTTTTTTTTTTTTGAGACAAAGTCTTGCTCTGTCACTATAGCTAGAGCGTGCAGTGGTGTGATGTCTGTTCATTGCAACCTCTGTCTCCTGGGTTCGAGTGATACTCCTGCCTCAGCCTCCTGAGCAGCTGGGATTACAGGCATGCACCACCATGCCCAGCTAATTTTTGTATTTTTAGTAGAGACGGGGTTTCACCATGTTGGTTAGGCTGGTCTCGAACTCCTGACCTCGTGATCTGCCCACCTTGGCCTCCCAAAGTGCTGGGATTACAGACGTGACCCACCGTGCCCAGCCATCATAAGTTTTTTCACATTTTACTTGAGTCAGGAACCTCTCTTTCTGTAAGGTCCTCAGGTGACGAATGGGTTTGGAAGCCTTTGTTGTGCAGCCTCATTTGTTGAGCTACAAACATGCATTGTCCTTTCCCTTGAGAAAGTTAGGGTGCTCTGAAAGCAGGGGTCCCCAGCCCCCAGCTGTAGACAGGGACTGGTCCGTGGCCTGTTAGGAACTGGGCCACACAGCAGGAGGTGAGTGGCCAGTGAATGAGCATTACTACTGGAGCTAGTAACCTGCTGTCAAATCAGCCGTGCCACGATAGATTCTCGTAGGAACCCGCCCCCTAATGTGAACTGCGCATGCGAGAGATCTATGCGGGCGGTGCTCTTTATGAGAATCGAACTAAAGCCTGCTGATCTCAGGTGGAACGGTTTCAGTTTCATCCCCAAACTACCCCCGCCCCATCCATGGAAAAATTGTCTTCCACGAAACCGGTCCCTGGTGCCAAAAAAGTTGGGGACTGCTGCCATAAAGGGGAAGGCAGGTTTCTCAAAGCAAACGGATATTCTGCCTCAGTTCCTGAAGCACAATCATTCTCTTATTGTCCTTTGTGGTTCTTCTAGGGAAGAGAGATTTTTTGTTGCTTGTTTATGTTTGTTTTTTCTTTTTTGTATTTTTCTTTATATATATTTTATTGCACTTTAGGTTTTGGGGTACATGTGAAGAACATGTAAGATTGTTGCATAGGTACATACATGGCAATGTGATTTGCTGCCTTCCTCCCCATCACCTATATCTGGCACTTCTCCCCATGTTGTCCCTCCCCAACTCCCCACCCCCTGCTGCCCCTCCCCTAGTTGCCTCGCACAGACCCCAGTGTGTGATGCTCCCCTCCCTGTGTCCATGTGTTCTCATTGTTCAGCACCCTCGTATGAGTGAGAACATGCGGTGTTTAATTTTCTGTTCTTGTGTGAGTTTTTGTTTGTTTTTACCTGGAAGCCCATCCATCATCTTCTAAGTGTGCCGCCACCTCCATTTCCCCCGATGCCAGAATGCCCTGGACAAGATAGTCACTGCTCAATGCTTCTTTGCATGTCTGCTCAGGAAACAGCTAAGAAAAAAAGAAGTCCTAAAGCAGAAATGAGCTTGGAATGTTCGCGGAACTGAAAGAATGCCAGTGTAGTGATCTGGCACTGTCGCTACGGTGATAGGGGGACAAGGAGAGGTAGTATGAGATGAAGCCCCAAGGTTGGCAGGGGGGTCAGATCAGGAAGGGGTGTTTTTGTTTGTTTAAGATGAAGTCTCACTCTGTCACCCAGGCTGGAGTGCAGTGGCA